CACAGTGGTTCCTGGGAAGGCTCAGGTCTGCCAAGAGATGCCAAAGCATTCAGGTTCAAACTGCTATTTCGACAAGGTGTTTGCTTTGTCAGAAGATGATGTCCAGCCCTGTGACTGCTTCAGCAATCAGTGGTAGCTGATGCATGGAGCACATTAGCATCATCTCCAGAGACAGCCTGTTTTCTCCCACATGAGTCACAGATAAGATGCTACAATGACAGCAGAAGTCTGGGCAAGTGAAACATATGCCATTCTGGAGTGGCAGGAAAGCTCTAGTGACTCCGATTTGCTCCTTATGGACATCTGAAGTGAGCAGAGTAATCTTCTCACTGCTTCTTACAGTTGTCACCGAGGAAACAAAACAGTGCACAAAGGTTGGATGGCAGCAGAGAGGTAGAGAAAAAAGGCAGGAGAAACCTGAGAATTGAAACAAACTCCTCTGTACCTTGCACAGATGGGAAGAAATGTCTCTGTAAAGTTCCTATCATCATGGAAACCCCTTCTGCTATGTAAAGAAGCAAATTACCTTTGAGGGGGAGAGAAAATACAGCAAAGGAGCAAGATAAACAAAGTGTGGATCAAAGACAGGAAAAAACAAAGACAATAAAAAAGTGGAAAAGTGCTGATGGGGGAAAGACAAGAAAGAACTGTTAAACTGCTCAAATTAACATTTTAATGCATTCACAGGGAAAATTGAAGCACTTTAAACACCAGGGTGACTGCTGAGGAACCTCCTCTGCAAGGAGCAGATTGGGGACTAACATCACAAAACCAACAACCTCCAGTTTCCACCACCAGCAGACATGCTGCAGTTATCAGGGGCAGATAAAGTGACAATACTTGGTCAATGAGTTTTGAGGTCACCAGCAATGCCCCTGGTGGAACAAAACCACAGAACATATGGCATTTCATGTGCTGGAACTGTCAGACTCACAATTAACTGATTAGAGTACATATGGTGCTCACAGACAGTGTAAATCTCTCAATGTAAAAGATGCTGGAGACCACTGAAGGTGTCAGCATGAGTCTTCCTTGCAAATCTCTCTTCATTAAAGTTTCGTATGGAGCCAAGAGTGTTGTAATCAAATCATTATTAATAGAGTTATATTTATGATTATTTCTCTTTTGTGCAGCTGGATTTAACTTTTCAAACACTAAACTCCACATCGAAGCTTTTTCACAGTAGCTGCTGCATGCACAGAAGCTTCTTGTTGTGTCATGTTTACAATGAAATTAGAAGTAATGAGAGCTAAGGTGGTAAAAGTTAACCAAGATTGGCAAGAAAACTGTTAATACACCAGTATCAAAGCAAAAATTCACACTGACATAGAAGTATGGTTACAATTCTGTTTATGTACTTATAATAGGCTGGCCAGGGACAAACTCATTCCCTCCTCAGTTCCAAAACACACTTTAAAAATGATGGTGAGTGACACTTCATTAACCACGTGAAATGGGCTGACACAGCCTGCCTGCTTTTCCAGCCACCACTTCACATGGTATTTTTCTTTGCATCTCCACACTGCTTCACATTGAACGCTCTGTAGGGAGCTTCCTTCAACCTCTCCAGCCACATCAGCCTTGTGTATAGGGGGTTGGGCTGGGGGCAGGCAGTTCTGGGGAGGGGAAAGCAAATGTTTTCAGTCCCAGAACAGACTGTGTTTGCATGTCCATGCACTGGAGATCCAACTTCTCATCAGTCATTAATGAAGGGCGTTTTAATAAGTTGCCTTCCAGCCCTCAGCCCCATCAGGCTCTGACAGGACTAGTTCTTCTGCAGCATCACTTCATCTCTGAAGTGATCAAAGCATCCTCCTGTATCCCAGCTGCTGGAAAGGTGCCTGTAACCCAGGCCATGTCTGATGCAGTGCTCCCAGCAGCTCTCCTGCCCATCGAGGGCTGGGGCACAGCTCAGTGTCTCCTAACTCCATCCTGCCAGCAGATAATAGCACTCACAGCCCCCTGCAGGGCTCAGACACCCCTCTCATTCCCTGCCTTCTTTTAAGTTGCCTCCCACCTCCATTTATACACCCAGAAAAGGACTTATCACAGACCTTAATCTTCCTAATGAGTTAAAAGATGTTGCCTCAGCCCAAAATATTCCCAGTCCCACAAGGCTTCCTCCTCTCTCCTGTGTTCTCTCTATCACTGTCTTCACCTGAGCTTCACACCTGCTGCTGGAATGGGTGGGAATATCTCCCATTTCAGAGTAAGGAAAAATCCCTGTCAAGAACATCCCTTGTTCCTCTCTGTGGTTTGTCAGAGTTGGGGCTGCTGGGAACAGATTTGGGCAGCCAGAAGAAACAATAAAGTGTTAAAGGACTCTCTTCTAGGGAGCACAGAAAGAGATTTTGGTAAATTAAGTACTCTGTAGGAAAAAAAAAAAAAAAAAAAAAGAAAAGAAGAAATAAAAGAAGTGTCAGAGAGGAGAGACGTGGTTCATGGTGCAAATGTTAAGATTTATGAACAAGGCTGAAAGGCAGAGGCTACAAAATGTAATGCAAGAGGATGCACTTGCCTTACAGAGTTTTCAAGGGCTGTTTTTAAACTCCACAAGCTCCTGGACCATGGGGATACCTGCAGCTCCCCAGTGGAGGTGCAGTGCCCAGGGACTGTGTGTATGTTGGGTGCCAGAGACGATCCCCTGTGGGTACAACTGTGGTTACCCACAGCATTGTTGTCCACACTTCAACCATCTCAGCCTACCAAAAGTAGTAGAGTCAGCCAGGCCTTTTCAGCTCAGATCCATCACTGTTCTTCTCTGCAGCTGCTCCAGACCTCCCCTGGATCTCACCAGAATAGCTGTGCACGTTGTTGCTTTGCTGCCAGGTGCATGATGCTCACAGGTGAGCTCTTCTCAGGCTCCTGTGCTACTCTCCAAGCTGCCTGTGTGCTGCCCTCCCAAACCCACCCAACACCAGAGGCTCCTGGGATGCCCTGACCCTTCTGCCATACTGACTTAAACATGCTGAAGTTCCTTCTTTCCTTCCCTCCTCACCCCCCACAGAGCTGTTTCTCCCACATCTCAGAAAAAACTGAGGCTCCAAGGTGCCTCATTCCAGCCATCTCCTCTGTTTGTGAGATGAGTCATGCAGGTGTCAACATTTCTAAAACTCACAGGGAGGCTCAGCAGAGCTGGGAGGGTGCAGAGCATTATGTCAGAAGTTATTAATAGCTGCCATCGACCATCTCATCGACTTTGATCTACTGGCGGTTGATTACAGCTGCTGCTCCTGATGATGAGGCACCAGGGGTCCTGCCTATACCTGCATTTCCCTTTCCAGCTTTCCAGTTTTTACTAGAACAAAAAACTTTCCTCCAAAATTTCAAAACAGATGGGATTCGGCAGTCAAGACTGCAGTCAGAAAGGCAAACACAACCAAGTGAAGCGTAAAATTTTACTTTACGAGGAAAATATCAGGTCTTTGACTCCTGCTTCTAGCAAAGTCTTTGAAAGGCTTAAAGGTTGACATCACACACAACAAACCTCCAGAGAACACAGTTCCTTTCGGAAATTTTCCATGTAGCCCTTAATCCATACCCAGGAAAACAAACGTAGAATTTGTTCTCTATACATAATTAAAGGGATATACCAATTGGTTCCCACACTCTTCCATGCTTTCACCTGAAGAAGAAAAGATAATTTACTATTGTCTGAGAACAATGTGCACACCTGATATATTCAAGGAAACAATTCAGGAAATCTCCCTGCAACCACCTAGAGTAGGGAACAACTAAAACAGCAGGATAAAATAGCCACCCACCCCTTTAAGTCAGCATCATCTAACCCTGCTCTGCCTGGTGGGTGACCAAAAGACATCATAGAGAAACATTTTGAGACAGACAAATTTAGACAAATTTCCATCTTATCTGGTGTTACCAGACAACTTCTGTATCAGCTTGCCCAAAACTCTGCAGAGTTCCTTTACTGAGAAACAAGGATGAAATGGATCTGTACCATGATACTGATCTACACCACACTGTGCTGCTCTGCTGGCTAAGGATGTAAAGGTCACTGGAGCCAGTACTGCCTGACGTAAGCCCTCACCTCCCAGCACAAGAAAAGAGCATTTTTAAAGATGCCAGAAACAACAAGGAGTTTTGTACAGTGGGACAGTTCACTCTATGGCTTGAACATGAACCCAAGAAGCAATTTCTACAAGTTTCACTCCATTTGAATTATAGCATCTAAATCGACATCATGGTGGAACTAGACATGAAGAAAGAAAAACTCACATACTTATGGCTATTGTAAAGCCTATGGAATAAAACTGCCAAGATTTAAGATCACAGACACATTCCAAATACTCCAAGTCATGACTCTAAAGCCCATTCCACCACGAGAAAGCACAACAGAGAAGAGAGGAACTATTTGGCCAATGCATGTTAACACTTACCTCATCACAGTCACATTTCAGACTACAAGTTTCAAAAAGAAAACTCAAGATAATATAAGGATTCCTTCAAGAAATATTCTATCTTTGGAAAGAATGTTTTCTGTCTTAGAGAAAACTTAGAAAAAAAACATTTAACAGTGACCAGTATTCTGGGGCTTTCAGGCCGTGAGAAGTGAAGAACTTAGAGCAGACACATATTTTACTTCTTCAGCCCTTAGGTAAAGCTGTTACAAACACAAGTTTCTCATGCTGTGTACAGGAGAGCCTTCCTCACCTGTGGATACTGCACACTTCGACTAGACCACAGAGAAGACACCACACCACTCTTTATTCCCCTTATACACACCCCATCAACCCACAAGGACTAGCTGTCACTCCAGCCATGCAGTGCAGCACAGCACACTCATCACTCCCAACATGATTATTCTTGGCTTCTGCCAGCGTCAGGTGCAGAATAATAACTTGTGGGTCTTATTGATCTTGGAATTTTGCAGTATGAATATTGCAAATCTGGCTTCTGTGAGAGCTGATCACAAGGCAATTCAATCTTAAAGGTCTCAACTACTTCACCCCTGGGGTTAGAGCATGATGCTTCTTTATTACCTCCAGCTCAGTGTTATGAGAGTGAAGCTTCTGCACCATGTCCTCGGCCTCGCGCATCCTCCGGCTCAGCTGGGGCGAGTGCTCCGCCGGCGTCAGCTCGCTGTCGTACGACTCCAGGATCGCTCGCATCCCGTCACGCTCCTGGCAGGAACAGCACAAACACCTTTAGGGACAAAGCCCCTGACTGCACTCTGAGGAGAGGCTTCCCAGAACAATATCCCACATTTCTGCCCATTGTTCTGCGGGCGAAAATGTTTCATTGCTGTGTTTTGCCCGCACGGCAGTGAAACCCTGATGGATAGGCACTCATCGTCTTTGTATCAGCATCAAGTCACAGATGAACAGAGTTGTAATAAAATAAATGTTGCTGCTCTGAAAAGTGAAAAATTAGCCTGTCTTGTGTCTATAAAGCCCCATATCGCTTGCAGGAAAGCAACATGCAGACACTCTAACAAGCAGATGGCAACTGAAAACAGAGCCTGCCTTCTTTATGGAGACACCACTCTAATTCAACATGGCTGAATGGGTTTCTTCAGCAAAATATTTAGTGTTGTACTTGACATTTTTCCTGCCAGAGTTTCAGCAAAGAAGGAACAAAATTGTCACAACAGAAATGAAACAGATTTGACAATGAACAAAGTGGCTGAGAGCAAATATCCCCAAAATGGTGTGTGACTTATCACTTGTTAAATGCTGCAACACCCGGTGTTTGTAGCAAATATTTTTTCAGAGGTTAATATCTGGCAGACAGTGCGTTTGGCTCACTTCACTATCTGCTGGCAATTATAACCAAGCACTTGCAGAAAAAGACAAAGAGAAGGATCTCTCTCCCCTCCCAGAGAGCACTCGCATTCCCAAGGATGAGGCTTAGGCTGGGAGCCAAAAGTAAAACTTTTTGTGTGGGCTCCTAGTTGAAGTATTTCCTAATGCATTCCCAACTTCAGACAGCACCTAATACCTACCTCCAAGGCATTGATAGACGAGAAGAATGGGGACAAAAGGAAAATTTCCAAGAGTCAGGTGTGTTTAAGGAGATTACTGGTTACAGTGCAATATGCACACAGGGATTAACCAGCTGATGAAGCATTTTATCTTTTGACTGCACCGAAGAACCTTGATGCTTGTGAGGCTACAGAACAGGGTCAAAGCAGCACAGGCCCCTGGCATAAACCCAGAGAGCCCAAACTCTGAGGAAACCCAGACAGTGCTGTCCCCCTTTCACTGCTGGAGTCTGCCACCTCCCCCTGCTGCAGGAGAGCTCGGGACAAAGCAGCTCCTTCGTGACCTAACTGCAGCCTGCCAGGACCTGAAGGGAGCCTACAAGAAAGATGAAGAGGGACTTTTTGTAAGAGCATATAGTGACAGAACAAGGGGCAGTGGCTTCAAACTGAAAGAGAGTAGGTTTAGATTAGATATTAGGAAAATATTCTTTACTGTGAGGGTGGTGAGACACTGGCACAGGTTGCCCAGAGAAGCTGTGGGTGCCCCAGCCATGGCAGTGTTCAAAGCCAGGTTGGATGGGGCTCTGAGCAACCTGGTCTAGTGGAAGATGTCCTTGTTCACAGCAGGGAGGTTGGAACCAGATGATCTTTTTAAGGTCCCTTCCAACTCAAACTGTTCTATGATTAATGTGAATTCTGCCATCACAGACACCCAAAGTATTATCAGAAGATCACTTGGCTGTCCAGCTGTGCTACTGCCACTACACTGGACATGCAGCACTTCACAAACTCAGCTCAGCTGCACTGAAATGTTTTGCTGGGATCCTCCTTTCTTGGGGAAACCAGGAATTGCTGGGGTAGGAAAAAAGGTCCTTTTACCCACACCCCTAAATGCAAAAGGCTGTGTTTTGGAGAGTGAAGGTGACACTAACTGCTCAGCTGAGCAAGCCTGGATACAAAGGTTATCTCCACCTTCCAAAGCTAAAGGTCACAGAGTGAACATGGATAGCAAGTGTACATGTGGGGAAGGGAAGAAACATTCAAATTCAAGGCGTGACAACAAGACTAGAGGCACTGCCAGAGGTACAGTGTGTTCAGAGCACATCACAGATTGAAAGGTCAGCCAAGATGGTTGGATTGGTCAGCAGGTAAAAGGGCCCCAAGACCAAAGGACACCCTGAGGCCACAGGAACCAAGTTAATAAAGCAACAAAGAAAAACAGGGTTTAACATAAATAGTACCAGCAGCTATTACTAGCTTCTAGCTCAGAAGAGACAGAGGAGAATATTTTTCCAAGGAAAGAACAGTTTTGCCATAGCTTAGACAGACATGAGAAAGGAAATACTTCCATGGTACTGCAGAAGAAGAAAACCCAAATGCAACCACACCTGCCTTGGAATGAACTTGTTTAGCAGAAAAGCAGGACAGGATCACTTCTTTCTCCTCCCCCACTCCAACACACACAGACATCACCCAATCTGCCCAGTGCACTCTCCATAAGGGAAACTGCTTTTGCTCAGGAGATGATTTCCATTCCCCATTTATTGCCAAATCATTGTCTAGAGCACAGGACATAACATAATGACAGCATTTAGTGAAGGTATTGGTTTGAGCTTTGCATGATGTTGCAATTAGATTTGCAATTACAGCATCCTCTCTCTTTCTCTGCGCTCTGAGCTGCTTTGCTATCCTAATTTTCTCCTAAACATCTTTCATCGATGCGATAATTTGCCACTGCAATGTTCTCTCCATTACAGCAGGGCAGTCCCAAAATCCTCAGCGTTTTCTCAAAAGCAAACAGGACCCCTGGCAACTCCCATCACACTTGGCTTCCAATTAACTGCTGAATATTAGGTCATTCGAGTCAGCCCCAGCAAGATCCAAGCAGCTCCCTGAGCTGTTCGGCTGCAAGGAGGACAAACTCCTGCTTTCATGTTAGCATGGGAAAACTGCATGTGTGCAGAACCATCCCTACAGGCTGTCTTTGCCCTAAAATCAACTGCAGCCCTTGCCCTTCAAAGCCTTCCACTTAAATGGAGAGTAAACTTCTCAAGAACAAACACACATGGTGAATGCAGCACAAGTTGTAGTGGAAAAAAAAGGTGCTGAAAAGCTGAACTAAAAGGTGGCACAATTAAGCACTTGATCCTGGAATTTACTTCTCCTCTTTAATTATTTCTAAATATTAATACTGTAATGAAATCAATTCTCAGCTTCCAACAAGCAGTCCCCAGCTCCAGTTTTTAAATTTCTCCCCATCAAGAGCACTTAATGAAAGCTTTTCCCTCCCTCTAAAGATCTTGTTCGTTTGGCAGGCAACAGAAGTTCTTGTTGACAAGTCCTCCGTGGAAAAAGATTCTCTAAAATGTAATCCTCATTTAGTAATTCCTGCAGTATTTCCTCTTTCACCAGGACAGGATATTCCCCAAGCCCCAGCAAAATCCTCCCCAGGGACTTTCAGATGTCCTTTCTAACCTTAATCCAACACCTCCTTGGTAATCCTTTCCTGCTTCCTATCTGGAGAGTATCCAGAGTTACTAAAAAGCAGTTCCTCTGGGAATTCCCCAAATGGACCCAGCACAGGACATCTCTACTAACTCACCATGGACCTACACTGGCACATGGTGCTCTTCAACTTAACCAGTTTTAAATCAATGCCCGAACAGAAACGCAGCTTACTCTAAACATGCCCTAGAAGCTGAATAATAGTTTTGATGTTCATTATAAACCTAGGAAATTAATGCCCTACAGCAAACTCTGGTGCTGCAGCTTGCAGCTGTGTTTGAGGAGATGTAAGTTTGAAAAAGAGGAAGGATAGGGAGTTTTTCAAAGGTTGAACAGTTTCCTTTCCTTCCACCAGCACCAACCCCCATTCACCAAACAAATGTGCCTCCTACTATTGCATAAGTAACTAAAAAGAAAACACATTTTATCATTTTAACCAGAAAGTAGAGCTAATCCCATGAAAATATGCTATGGGAAAGGACAGGATGGCACCTCTGCAAAATGCCACCCCTAAGCTGAAGCTTCTCTGCAGTTCTCCCTCTGTGCGAAGCCAAAATTCGACCTAGTTGGCAAGCAGCTGGAAGCTCAGAGAAAGTCCCTTTCCAAGGTACTCACACAGCAAAGTGGCTTAGAAAGAGCAGGAATACAAGTGGGCTCCTCCAGGACTTTTGGGTCCATTTGAGGGAAAGACCCAAGAATGATTCACATCAGGACCATCATCACATCATCCCCATGTGACTTCCAGCACTGCACATCTCCAAGGGCAGTCCACAGCTCCAGGTATGTGCACACTGAGGAGCATGGGAGCTACTCCCAGATGGGTAATGGAAGCAACTGAAGAGTAAAGCATAGCCCAAAAAAATTTACAGATGTGTCTGACCTGGAGAAGAGGAGGCTCAGGGGAGACCTTATCACCCTCTGCAACTCCCTGACAGGAGGTTGGAGTCAGGTGGGGGTTGGTCTCTTCTCCCAGGCAACCAGCAGCAGGACAAGAGGGCACAGACTCAAGCTCTGCCAGGGGAGGGTTAGGTTGGATATTAGGAAGAGATTTTTTACAGAGAGAGTGCTCAGGCATTGGAATGTGCTGCCCAGGGAGGAGGTGGATTCACCATCCCTGGAGGTTTTCAAGCTGAGACTGGATATGGCACTTAGTGCCATGGTCTAGGAACCATGGTAGTGTTGGACTCAATGATCTTGGAGGTCTTTTCCAACCCAGATGATTCTATGACCTCATGTACATGCACATCAGCTCAGGCCCTGCTCCTGCTCGTTAGCCCTTCTTCAAACACACACACACACACACACCCCATTCACCACAGACTTTCTAATTAGCTGAAGAAAAGAAAAAAATCAATAAGAAAGAAATTAAAGTTACAAATCTAACTGAAGTCAGTCACACACCCAGGGAAAATTTGTTCCTGGGGTAAAGTTTATCTAGTGTCATAATTTTATTGAAATCCTATATCTTCCTATTGACTTTTATCGTTTCGAGCTGGATGCCAGAGTTATCATTATTAGAGTCTCAGTGTTGCTCGCAGGCCTGAGCTTTGAGGTGGCTTTTTTTTCCTTTCCTTTTATAAACAAGCTGTAATTGTCTGGTTTATTGATCAATAAATCTTTCAACTGCCTCTCCTCACCCAGCTTCTGTTTTGGTGAGTCTCCTGCACTGTTCTCTGCAAGAAAATATAGGGTTGT